TTGCATCTGGGCTGTAAACCTGTATAGCATGTTACTGTACTGAATACTGTAAGCAATCATAGCACAATGGTAACTATTTGTGTACCTAAGCATATCTGAACATAGAAAAGGTACAGTAAGAATTCAGTATAAAAGATTAAAAAATGGCACACCTGTGTAGGGCACTTACCATGAATGGAACTTGCAGGACTGGAAGTTGCTCTGGTGAGTAAGAGTGAGCGGTGAGTAAATGAGAAGGCCTGGGACATTACCATTCGTACTGTAGACTTCATAAACACTGTACACTGAAGCTTCATTAAATTTGTTTTTTTAATTCTCCAATACTATGTTAACTTTAGTTTAATGTAACTTTTTAACTTTCTGAACTCCTTTCTAAACTGTTGACTCTTTTGTAATAACACTTAGCTTAAAACACACAGATGTACACAGAAGTTCATATCCTTATTCTATAAGCTTTTTTCTATTCTTAGAATTTTTTTAACTTTTTTAATTTGTTAAGATCTAAGACACAAACACATGTTAACCTAGGTTTACACAAGGTCGGGGTCTTCAATATCACTGTCTTCCACTCCCACATCTTGCCCCACTAGAATATCTTTAGGGACAGTAACATGCATGGAGCTGTTGTCTCCTAGGATGACAATGCCTTCTTCTGGAATAACCTATCTGAAGCTGTTTTACAGTTAACTTTTAAAAATATAAGTTGAAGAGTATACTCTAAAATGACAACAAAATACAGCAAAGCAGTAACATGTTCACCTATTATCATTATGAAGTATTATGTACCAAACATAATTGTATGTTCTTGTATGTGCTACACTTGTGTACAACTGGAAGAGCAGTAGGTTTGTTTGTGCCAGCCTCAACATAAACAAGTGAGTAACGCATTGTGCCACAATATTAAGCTGCCTGTGACACCACTAAGCCATAGGAATTTTTCAGCCCCATTATATTACAGGGCCACCATTATATGTACATCCCATCATTGGCCAAAACGGTATGCGACATGACTGCATTTCTCCATGGTAGCTGTGAAAATAGTATATTTTTTTACACAAATTACAAAACCTTAGTACTCTTTCCATAAACTATACAGTACAGTGATTCCAACCTCCCCAAAGCATTTACAACCCCCTCTCCCGCCACACACATCACTGAAGCTCTCCATGTATCCTAGCAGACAGAATGCGGACTGGCAAAAATTGATCAGTACGGTTTTCTGATGGCCATCATGCCAATCTTCCTAATGTCCACTTGGAATCCCAGTCCAGCTCCATGCTTCTGGGTGGAACGAGTAGCTGGCTGAGACCTATCATCCCAGTCAGGACTGCTCTGCAACCGCCTGTCGTCCTAATGCTGGAGGATGCGATGCTTACATATAAACCTCCAATGGATGAGACTGGAGGGGACAAGAAGCTGTTTGCAAAGCCATATTATTTATTCTAAAGACCTCTCCCATGAACGTTTGTCAGGATGAATGAATATCCTAAGGTAAAAGTGACGAAAGCAGTCTCTTTTCAGAAAGTGAACCAGGAAATCCCGTTCTTTATTAGCGGCTTTTGTATACTCAGATGGGGTTAAATACACCACTGAAAACGTGTATTTAGTTTGTTCAGTGCCAATGAGTGGGGCTGAAAGTTGTATGTGCGATTGGCACATGCCTAGGTGCATTTTCATGGCTCTGAGCAGTCGTATGTGCTGGGCTGGATTATTAGTTGGTGTAAAGCCACCAACAATTTATTCTATGCACAAATAAAATTGCCCTCAAAAAAGGAAAGACAAGATTCTCACAGCTCTCCCGCAGCAGGTCACCAGCTCCAGCACTTCCATCAGAGTGACTCATCTTTGTTTCTGAATAAATGGAAGCATTGGCTTGGGGTTAGATGTGATGTGATCCTATCCTGGCCTGGCCCCTGTTTATGGCCCAAGCAAAAAGATTATGACTTTATTTTCTATTGTGAAATGGCTGGAATAGTTTATATGTAGATTTTAGAAAGTAGCCTTTTATAGTACTCACAATTTTTCTGTAGTTACAGTTTTCATGGTGTCTACTGGTTGAGAGATGATAGGACTTATTCATGGAATTTACACTCTGGTGGTTTGATAAATATATAACATGTTGAAAAGGAGTTTCGTGGAAAAGTAAACATTATTCATCAGGGCTTTAGTTTCTCTTATATTTGCTTTCAGCTGAGAATATCGTAAGTTGTTTTTTTGATTTTTATTTATTTTTCATTTATTTGGCTTCCTTTCTAGATCCTTTACCTAATCTAATCCAAATAAGAACAGCACTTAACAACTCTAAATATGGCATAGGGGGAAATGTGTATATCCTTTTCTTTATATTATCTTTTGTTCACGTACTGAGGGCTATGGAAGGCAAAATGTGATGAGGTGCTATTTTATAGCATGGTTAATGCTTATCAGTGATTTTTTCCCTCTGACCTTCTGCCTCAGACAATTAATTTTCTTGAACTGCTCACACACTGGCAGAACATGGAGGGGGGATAATGTTAGTACTAGTGAATATAATCTTGGAAGAAAAGCTGTGCAATTATTCAAAGACCTAATCTTATCTCTTGTTTCATTTTTATATCACAGGTCTACATTTAAAAGTATTAGGTAGCCTGTTCTGCTGTCCCACACCTTCAAACCTCAGTAAATAAACGCTGCTAAGTGCCACCAGGAGTGAAAGAGCTTGTAATGAGAAGTGTGAGGAGATATGTGCTCCATTCATCATTCTGTTCAGGCCAATATTGAGGCTCTTGTTATCAGCAGGATTCGTGGCGATGTCATCATGGCTGGCATAAATCTTCTGTCAGCGTGGGTCGGACTGATGCCCTATTAAAACTCTGCTTTCACCTAATCACAGAATGACCTTTCGATGTCTTTAATTAACCTCTGACCTGAACCATGCCAATGTCTTGTTGGTAGGTAAATCTATGGCATGACATTTGCTTATGACACTACATTTGTCTTGCTTTAATCATCATACCTTTCAGATTATGGCTTGAATAAAATACAGTTGGGATCCCTGTTAATAGTTGGATTAATTTTTAAAAGGTTAGAACATAATATTTTCCTCTGAGCTCCAGTGATATCTTTGCAGACATTTTTCCCTAGGGAGTTAGGGTTCTCCATTAAAGTACATTCAGGTGAGCCTTCAGTTTCACCAATAACAAAATCTTTTCTATCCAAGTTATTTTTTTTTATGACCTGGAAGCTGGAAGCATTCTAGGTCTCGTGGATGACCAGAGGAAAAAAAGTTTTAAAACATAATGTAGCCTCACTTGTCCAAGACATTCGAATGCAGTAGTTGCATGGAAATTAAAGAAATAGAAATAGAGGGAGAGGGGAAGGGAGACAGGAACAGAAGCTTTCTATCTCATTTGGGGAATGTGCTTTTCTACTCTGCAATATGTGTGCCTCAGGTTCTGAGACGTTTTTGGATAATAAAATATCATTCACATCTCATTCTTTCACTAAGAGGAAGTTTATTTGTGAACTCCTATCTGAATTAGTAAATATTACAAATGTAAAATATTTATAATGAAATATACTTTTCCGATAAACAAATGTAATTATAAATTGATTGAAATGGCCACTAATTCACATAAATGAAGTAGTTTGTTCAAAATAGCTGGTCATGGTTGGCCTATAAATCATAATGTTATATGAATAAAATAAAAGTTTTGAGTTACCTAAGATTTATCCAGTTTTATACTCAATCAGAAGCCCCATGAAGGGCTTAGACTAGATAATCTCTCAGGTCTTTTTCAGTTGTAAAAGTCTATGATTCACTGTCTCAATATTACAAATGCTGAGTTTATTGAGTCTGAATTCAGAAAGTTTTCCTGCCTTTAAAATTTAATTCAAAAGTTATACTGTAAAGACTTTAAGAGCTGGGAAGTTTCCAAGCATCCCACCTGACTTTGCCCTGTTCCCTGCATCTTCCTCCTACTGAGCCTTTATTGACTCACCTTAAACAGTGTCTGGCGTGTACTAATGCCCAGTCCATTGAGGACGCTGGTGCATTATTAGTCTCTGCTGTACTTGCCAACAGATGTTACCTTCTAAGCCTAACTTAATCTCTTTCCTTCTAAAATTATATAATGTTATGGTTAATAACTTTGGAGTCACTCCTGGGTTCAAATAACTGCTATATCACACCAGTTTATGGCCTGTAGGATCATGAGCAATTTAGTTAAGCTTCCAATGTCACAATTTCTCATCTACAAAATGGGAAAATAATTGTGCCTAATTAATAGACCTACTAAATAAGATAATACATGAAAAATACCATCTCTGATTTTTCTCAATAGTGTATTCCCATTGCCTAGTATAGTATCTGGCACAGGGCAAGCACTCAACAAATATTAATGAAGATTTAACTGTTTTATATAATTATTTTATTATTTAATTGCATATTAGCATTACATAACTATTATCATCAATAAACCTGTACTATTTATATCTCACACCTTTCTTGGTATAGAAGTGGTAGTCACATATTTAGACAAAAGTAGATTTTAACATTGAATATACATGGACACAAAGAGCGGAACTACAATAGATACGATTTTACTTGAGGGTGGAGAGTGGGAAGAGGGTAAGGACTGAAAAATAACCCGTAAGGTACTATGTTCACTACTTGGGTGATGAACTCATTTGTAGACCAAACCCTAGTGGCATGCAATTCACTCATGTAATAAACCTGCACCATGTAGCCACCAAACCTAAAATAAAAGTTGGGAGGAAAAAAAGTGGGTTTTGGTTAGGTCCTAGTTTGAAGTAGGAAAGTAATGTTTACTAATGATATCATCTCTTCTGTTTAATAATTCATTTATTTAGGAAGCCTTGTCTGAGCCAGGCTCAGGGGATGTGCCGGGCCCTGGGGATACTATGAAAGCTAAAAGATATGCAATTCCAGCTGTCATGGAGCAAAGAGTTTATGAGAGAGAGACTGATGCTAATCAAAGAAGGACACTAACAAATGAACAATTGTACAGCTTTGCCAAGGACCATGAAGGAGACAGACACAGCTCTATGAGGGGGCTTTGAGGTAGGAAGGTAAGTTGAAGTCTGAAGCAAAGGATGGAACAGCCTGACCACATGGGGGCTTGTATGACATGTTTTGAAATTTATTTAATAGGGAGTAGGGGATAGTATCATAATGAAGTTTGTGTTTCCAAAAGCTTACCTTGATTACAATGTGGAAGGTGAATCAGAGCAAGGCAAGGAGCTATAGGGAGATGTTAATGTCAATGATTTTGTACTTAATCCCAAGGGACGTGGTCTCCATGGTAATTCCGTCTTTGAATCTCAGCAGAAAGTTAGGCTGATGCCTTGTTCATAGGCACCAAAAAGGTAAAGGGGAAAAGACCACTCCCCATGCCCAAATATACAAACTTTTCTTTTCACAATTAGTATCCATACTGAGGACAAGAGATACCACCTAGGTCTCTGAATTTGTTATTCTTCTCTGCCACTTTTGCTGTGTCCACAAGAGAACAAAGCTGTCCATATTTCATGTTTTATATTATGGGCAGTCACATGCCCTCTAATTGGAGGATTGCATGCCAAACCAATGGCCTAGGCTCATAAAACTTCACTGGCTCTTATAATGATGGGGCCAGACTACAATGTAGAGTCATGAAACGTATCTCTAAACCTTAGTTTGTGAAAAGGACAGAAAAAAATTAACCATTTCTAGCTAGAGAGCTCTCATGGCAACCAAACTTTTAAAGGAATAAGGCAATGAGTTTATTCATATTTCATCCTGCAAATATTTATTCAACTCTTATTATGTGCCAACCACCTCCTGAATATTAAATGGTGAACTGAGCCCAGTCTTGAGAGGGACATCTGCCATATCATGTGATTTAAGGGGGAAGGCTACCATTTATGAACTTGCTGTATACTTTATATAGGTTATCTGATTTGTTCATCAAGACAACTCCACAAAATAAAAATTATGACCTCTACTTTAGGAAAGTTAGGTTTTGAACCTAGATCTACTGACCACAAAGTCCTTTCTCTTCCATTATACCATGTTGTTTACCAGAAAGGAGTCCCTTTTCAGAGATAACTCCCCAAGGAGGCCAGAAACTCTGCCATTAGTGAGTTTCCTTTGTGCCAAGATTCATCCTGTCTCCAGCATGCTCTTTTTAAAACCACAGCAGGATTTCTCAACCTCAGCACTACTGGCATTCAGAATTGGATAATTTTTTGTTGTGGGGGCTGTCCTGTACCTTATAGGATTTTTAGCAACAACACTGACCTTTACCCACTAGATGTCAGTAGCATCCCAGTTGTGATGACTAAAAATGTCTCTGGACATTGTCGAATCTCCCTGGGGAGAAGCAGAAGAGAAGAAGGTTGTGTGAACAGCCAAGAAAGCAGAGTTACAAGAAGGAAATGGTTGGCAGAGACAGCTGTTGCCGAGAAACTGTGTAAGATATGGGCAGAAACAAAATGATATTTGAGTTTGCTGATGAAGAGATCGTTGGTGACCTCAAGGAGCGCAGTATCAGAGGGTTGGTACGGTCAGAAGCCTGAGGGTGGGGTGTATGTGGAAAGCATGGGAGTAGGGTCAGTGAGGAGTGATTCTCCTTTCAATAAGCTTGAGAATACTGCAGAAGTGAGGCTGTGCCAGCTCTGGGCACAAGACTCATTATCGTTTCTGTATCTTGGAATACTCTCTCTGGGATCCTGAGCATCTATATAAGATGTTCAACCAGCCTGAGACTGCCACATAGCGGTTGTACTTTGAAATGAATCCAACATTTCACCTGTGCCTGCCAGGCAGCAGACATGCAGCTGAAGCTATCTTGGAGCCTCTAGACCAGGCGTCCCCAAACTTTTTACACAGGGGGCCAGTGCATTGTCCCTCAGACCTTTGGAGGGCCATCACATACTGTGCTCCTCTGACTGACCACCAGTGAAAGAGGTGCCCCTTCCTGAAGTACGGCGGGGGCCGGATAAATGGCCTCAGGGGGCCGCATGCGGCCTGCGGGCTGTAGTTTGGGGACGCCTGCTCTAGACCAACCCATCCACCTGCTGAATACCAGCGAGTGACCTACAGCAAAGCTACTAGAAGTGGAATTGCCAGCTGAGCCCCACATACATTTCCAAGCCACACAGTTGCAAGATACTATAAAATGGTAAGTTTTATAGCAGAGTGCTACCCAGCAGTGTGGACCTGGAACAGAGTGAAACCTGAAACCAGTCCTGGTTTCCCTCTCCTAGTCAATACAAAGACAGGGATGACAGGCTAAATGCCACCCAGTCCCCTCTGCTCTGAGAGTAGCCCCTAAGCATGTGTTTTGTGTCATGGTGATGGTCAAGCCCTCAGACTCTAGAGTCATACAGACCCAAGGTCAACTCTTAACCTCTCTACTCATGGCTTTGTAAAATAGGGATTTTTACAGGTCCCATTCATAGAAATGTTGGGGGAAAATGGAGTGAGAGGCATTTATGTAAAGCACTTATGCAGAGCCTGCCACAATAAATGCTCACTAAATGTTAGCTTTCCTTTAAAACATGAATTTTTCTGTCGATGGACAGCAAATCATCACATTCCATATAAAATGAATCTGACTTCACAAAAGTTTGCGCTAACTTCATCTCTCCCCACTAGAGGGACTAATGAGGCCTTCCGCTCTCACCTGCTTCTTCACAACCACAAGTCCATTCCTTTTGTTCTTTTCGTGGTTTCCAATCTCCTATTCTGACTATTTGACCTACAAACCTTTAAACACACACACACACACACACACACACACACACACACACACAAGAGAATGCCTCTAAACCACAAGTTCTCCTATGGGAGATGTGTGTATTAAAGGATTGACTTCTGAATGCCCTTTTAGCAACCACAAGCATTTCAATTTTAGTCTGCATGACTTGTGAATCACTCCTGTTTGAAATAACCAGAAAAATAAATAAAAAATTAGATGTTGGGAGCAGAAATAAAGGCTAAAGGATAAGGCGAAAGAGGAGTAGAGATTTTGCAGTGAAGCATGGGATACTCTGAAGGAAGTTGAAAAAAGAACAAGATGCCTGATTCTTCCAGGAAGCAAAAAGCTAAGCTGTGTATTAATAGGGCCCCAGGCAGAGCTGAAACTATAATCCTGGCTCCTCGACAGATATTTCAAATATACCAAATTAGCCATGAAAGCAGCCCAAGGCCTTTTCCATCTAACACACCTTAACTAGTCTGTGTTTCTAGACCACAAGGGACCCAGGGTCTTGGTTGTGGGAGTTAATACTTCTGAGTTCAAACATGAACCAACACTGAACATTTAGGAAGAGGAAAGACACAGAGAAAATTTCTCCTCCTATTCCTGTTAACTGATATCTGAAAACACAGTTTACAAACATTTCACTGATTTTCTCTGGGAAGGAATTCCTGCTAAATTGCTCATAAGTGATGGATATTAAGATAAAAATAATTTACAGAACCCATCATAACTAATTTGAGTGGGTGAAATGTCACCAGAAATTTATTTAGTATGCTCTCTTTATTGTTTTATGTTCAGAAACAGAAAAATGTGAGTGGCAACCTCTGAGCCTTAACTCCAATTTTCACATTGTCAGAAGTTCCTTATATTCCATGGGCTTTTCAACAAGAGAGCTAAGGATAAATACTGGTGTGTGGAAGGGTTGGGCTTAACAGAATGGTAGCTGGTAGCCAGGCACTCTGCTAGGATCCTTTCGGCGCTATGGGAACAGGAGAACTTTGTAGAAACAAGTTGATTTGATGCCTCTTGAGTCAAAGGACTTAAGATGTGTCTGCCCTACTGAGAACTATTCCGTGGACCACAGGGCACGGAGCCGTGGACCAACCGTGCTTCCTGTCTGTAGAGGTTCCTTTGAGTATTAAAATGGCTCCCCACTCAATCCCACTTAGACCTCATTCCCCACAGTGAGGGCTTTTCTTGGCAAGGCTGAGCATAAGTGGGGAATGGGAAGAAGAGGAGCCAGATCTCACATTCATGAAGGGCTTGGAATTTAGACTCTTGGCATTTTCTCCAAATGCAGTTATATGATCAGTATAATTTTGGAGTATTAAAATATTAATTTATTAAATGTAAAGATTTAAAATCTACCACACATTTTCACCCCTGTTTTGGCATCTCTTCTATTTTTAATATATCTGGACCCTCAAAAACAAAAGTGGCCTGGATTCTTTCCATCTCCAGGAAACACTGTCCAACCCAGCAATCATCCACAGCACTTTCCCCAAAATGTTTAAAGTCCTGAAACAAAAGGAGTTAGATGAGGAGCCGAAAATGGGAGTGATAAGTGAATATGCAGTGGGTCTGTGCAGGTCCAGAGGCAAATACTAAAATCTATTCCATTAAGCCCCACTAGAAGGTACATCCCTTGAGAGCTGGGGCACCATCTTTCATCTCCATATCTCTAATTTATCGTGCAGTCCTAGAACACAGTAGGAGCTCAATGCATGTGTGTTCAACGGGTGAATGAATGAATGAATTAACAACACTAGCCTGGACAGATGATTCTTTATGCAATATATGATACTGTCAAATTCAACTGCCTGCAAGGGAATCATTTGCCTATGGAGTAGGCAAATTTTCAATATGACGCTGACTTCAAGCCATTGCTCAGACCAAGTGCCCAACTAAAGGAACATGAATGATTCTTAATATCTGACAAGGAGAAGTGTAAGTGGGAGAGGGGATCTGCAGCTGGAAAAAGCAAAGCATATTCCAAAACCAAAGAGAAATTCCTTTTGGATTGTCAATTATTTGGGATTACCTGGGCCTGGGTCACAGACCATTGGTGTGGATAATCAAGAATTGACTGCACATGTGGATGTCAAGCCTGCTTGGACTCGGGTATCCCCCAGTGGCCTGACCACAGCCTCCACTACTCCCCATCACACAGAGCCCAGAGTAGGAATTGGAGGCATAAACCCACAATGAGACTGTGGAGCAGAAGCCTTCTAATACCCTCAAAGGTTAGAGTTTCCCCCATAGCGGCAGGAATGAACTAGGGTTTGTCAAGAACTTGGCAACCAAAACAAAGGTTAGCACAAATAGGGTTGTCATGAAAAAGAGAATCAGGAGTTGTCTGTGCCAGCTGCATTTTCCTTGTTGCTGCAACCTTAGAATTGTCTGTCTTAATACATCACATATATTAAAAGTAGGGACCACTATGAACAAAGTTGCAGAGTAGGAATTCCTGCTGTGGGCACTGCCTCCCTTGTCTTCGCCTCTTTGTCCCCATCACTTGGCCTCCACCCCTGGCCCATGAGTGACTCACGGTCTTCCCTGGACAGCGTTTTCTGAGGATGATCCACCTTCTCAGCCTCTCGTCCAGCTTCATAACCAAGTTCCTGTTCCACACTCTGTTCTGACAGAGGCCTGCCCTCAGCTCTCAAAGGTCAAATCTAGGATAATTTGATAAATTAATCTGGTCTTTCAGATTAATGTGTTAATGGATACTCTTTCTGACAAGAGTTTTCAAGAGAGAGAGTTGCCCTATTTGTGTCGAACCCCCTAATGGAGTGACTCAGAAGGAAGCCATCACAGGGCTGAGTCAGGTGTGGTCAGCCAACTGGAGAATATTTTGGGTCTATGATCGGAGGCTCTCAAGCCACTGTTGGCTTCCTATGGCTGGATCTGTCTGGGAGAAGTATATGAGGATAGGAATTTTCTGCACTGAGAGACAAATGTAGAATGTCACTTGATAGATTTCTACCCCAGTGGGTTCCCGGGGGCATTTTATGGGTTATTCTAGTTTCCTGAGAGTATGTAAGCAAACACAAAGGGAGTCAATTTGAGAAAATATAAATACAGACAAAGGAATCCACCAGAAATGGGAGATTCTGTGGCCCATTCTAGTGAGGGAGGGCAGAGGACGCACAAGAACTGAAATTCTGCTCCAGATTGAGCTTTCTACAGGAGTCCTTAGCCTCACCAGAAAGAGTGGGATAATTTATAGGTTAACATTTCCTTTTAATGTGGATAGCATTTTCCTCATTTATAGTTAATTAGGTTAAGCATGCATGGGGAGCAAGGGAAAAAGGCTTTTAGTGATGCTCTAAATGATTAGTAATTTGAATAAAGTAAAGAATCTCTAAAAGATGGAGCACTGGAACACGTTGAACAGGCTTCTCTTCTAAGTGCTAGAATCAGCTCACTCTAATTTTGAAGATACTGTGGCAATTAAAGCACTAACGATAAAAAGACACAGAATGTGCTAAATATTTTGAACAGGTTTTAAGCCATATGTATGTGTGATATTAAGTGATCTCAAAACAAATGGCTTAAGATTGCAGATGTTGTCTGTTTGGCATCCTGGCAACCCCAGTGTTGAGCTTCGGTCGTGAATCATACCAACCTGCTCGGGCCCAGGGATAAACTAGTAATAATGGACAAGAGACATCATGTTTTAGCTTAGCTCCCTCATTTGTTAAATGGGAGTAATAGGGCTAGGCGTGGTGGGTCACATCTGTAATCCCCGCACTTTGGAAGGCCAAGGCAGGAGGATCACTTGAGCCCAGGCGTTCAAGAACAGCTTGGGCAACGTAAGGAGAAAATTAAAAATTAGCTGGGCAAGGTGGCATGCACCTCCCAGCTACTCAGGAGGCTGAGGTGGGAGGATTGTTTGGGCCCAGGAGGTTGAGGCTGCAATAAGCCATGACTGTGCCACTGTACTCCAGCCTGGGCTGCAGAACAAGACCCTGTATCAAAATTTTTTAATAAAAAGTGGTGGGGGGAGAGAGGGGGAAATAATAATAGTGCCCTTCTTCCCGGACTTTGTGGTGTTGTTATGATTAGAGATGATATATGCTTATCATTTAGCAAATAGTGGGCACCAGTAAGTAGTAGCGATTGTTATAAGTTTAAAACTTTTGTTGAATGGAATCAAACATTTCATCATTTCTTGTCCTCTTCCTTTTAACCAATCCAGACCTCTTATGTTTAGGGCTGCTACCAAATGCAAACAAGGTGCAAGTTTTACACCTAGTTTTCCCTAGCGTTAATCCAGCTGGAAGAGTTTCAATAACTGCTCCCTTACCAATAATTTTCAACAAACAAAAACGTAAGCAACACAAAGTCTAACTACAGTCTACAGAAGATAGGTTTTTTCCTATCACAGTGTATCAGCTTTAAGGCATTCTTGGGATATCCCTAAGCATTTTCTTTCCTTTCCTTTGCACAGACAGACAAGTGTGGTGTCACGAAGAACCCAGGAAACCTGACGAGGATCTGGTTTTGCCGCCCCTACCTGTGTGGCCGTTGGCGAGTTCCTGGACTCTCTGGACCTCTGTTTCTTTTCACTCTTCATAAAGTAAGTAAAATAAATGAGAGATTTATAAGTCTCAATCTACTAGTCAAGTAATCGGTTTCTGAGACACCAAGTTTTAATGGTTTAAAAGAATCGTTTGCCCCCATTTCTCTGGCTGACCTTACAGCAGTTTTCCTTTATCAGCCTCCTGGTGAGGGCTTCCGGGCAATTTTGAGTGGAAAGAGCATAGGCTTTGGGCTTCAGAGCCAAGCAAACTGAAAGTTGGATCTCTGCATCCATTTACTGGCCATGTGAGCTCCAGCAAATATCTTAGCAGACTGAGACCTCAGTTTGTTCCTCTTTAAAGTGGCTTAACTAGCACAGAGCTCACTCCCAGTGTCAGCGTGAGGTTGCAGTAAGGACAAACAGGGCCTGGCACATAGTCGTCGAGGAACAAGTTTCACTTCCCTTCCTTCCAACGACCAAACCAGACATGTGGTAGGTTTGCAACATCTGCTTCCCCTGTGAACTCTTGCATAGACCCCTGAAAGTAGTCAATAAAAAGGTGCTTTCTAACTACCTCTTTCACACGTGTGCATGTGCACACACACACACCCCTTCTTCACCACCTTGACTGCCTTTAACCTTTGCCCACCTTCCCCATTTTCCTCAGAAATGAAGCTTCCATGACAGCGAGGTCTAGGGAAGACAGGACCCTTTAAAAGCTGTGTAGATCCTGGCAGGGAGGGGTCATTGCCTTCCAGATTCCTAGCCACCCCAACCCCTACAGGCAGCTGGCCTGATGAGGAGCAGGTGATTTCTTTTTTCCATTGTTTTAATTTAATTCTAATTGAATGTAAGGCTGGAGATGCCTTCAATGGGCCCTTTTTTCTGGTTAAATTTCCTTGGGGAGTGTGCCCTAAGACCTCTCTCTTTGTGATAACTTATTCTGGCCAGCAGAGCCAGGGTCTATTTATTACATCTCCCTACCACCCCCCTCCACAACCCTAGCAGGAGGGGCCCCTCTGCAGTTGCTGATGACTAGAGAATTACTCAAGTGTGAACTGTTTCACTGTCTGTCACTTTGCTCATTAGGCAAGTGAGAAAATGTATCTATGGCTCTGTCTCACGGTCCTCATTAGCTTAGAGGCACATTTTTACTTCCCTTATTTGTTTTTAAGATGAATGTAGAAGAAACAGTATTTAGTTTGTGTTCCTCAGTATAATTTTAAGAAGCAAAAGCCTGGATAATCTTATTATCTTCCCAATAATTGTGTTGTTCAGATGGTAGGGAAAGGGTAATTGCCTCGACTGCATTTCCAGCCAGGGTAGAGAGGGGTGTAGCTGTTTTAGCTGTAGTAAGGATTCAAGTCTTCAGCACTGGGGGAAGATTATGGTGTTTTCAGAAAGGCGGTAAACAGATAACCCCAATAAGAACAGCTGAGGAGCCTGTACCCTGAGAATGTCATTTTGTTTTCTTCTAATACCCTACTCTTTGTAGGTATAAAATATAATATTATTACTACCTTTGTTTTAAATGTAATTCTATTTCTACCTAGAGGTTTGGTAAAAGGTTAGTTTTTTTTTTTTTTTTTTTTTTTTTTTTTTTTTTGGTGGGGGCAGGGGTGGAGGATGGTGATTGGAGAGGGATAAGATTTGTTTTTTACGGAGCATTTGTTACAGTATTTATGGTTGTTTATCATCTCTAGATTTATTTACTGAGATGATAAAACAAAGCTGAGATCACCCAGTATCATTCAAGAGTTTGACATTCTGGTTGCCTTCCTGATAGAAATGTGTCAGCCTATTTCTCGTTTGCTGCGCTTGATTTGGGCTGTTTAGAATCCATTTTTGATCAGCCACTTAAATGTTGTTCCAAATTCATTAGCATCTGTGTGGAGTCCCAGACACGGATGCCCTGTGGCTGATAATTTAAGTGGAGAATGTCCGTCTGACAGGGCTAAAGGAAGAAAGAGGCCAGTTCTTGTCTTCACCTTAAAACTTCTAACACATATGGAGCACGTTAGGCTCAGCATTAGCTGCCTGCATTAGTTCACAGATAGGTCTACAAAACAGAACAAACAGATGAACTAGACTGGTAAATATAAAGAGTGTATTTCTGTTTATTTGCATTTTCAGATTTGACTCTTAAAATCTAAGAAGTGCAGAGAAAGCAGCATTCTGTTTTAAAAGCTTGATTCTTTCAGTAATAGTGCCAGTCGAAGTGACTGAATTTTCAGCTCCCTCAACCATTTTCTTCATTCAGAGAAATGAGAATGCACATCACCCATTCAAGGGAAATATAATGCATTATTATAATATGCCTTGGCCTAAGTAGCTAATCACTTTTTATTAACACTTTTTGGCCCAGGGAGTTGGGATTTCTCCAAGCTGACTGTCAGGGTAGGGATTCTGGGAGTCCATATTAGTAATTAGCATTGCAAGATCTTGACTCCTGGGGTGATTCAAATTAATACAAAATAAAAGTGCAAATTTCTAAATAGCTTTGGAAGCCATATCTATTATTAAATTTATGTTATTAAAGCCCTTTCCAGCCAGTATGACAGGAGTCCAAAGCAAAAGCTTTCTTTAAATATCTACACGACTCATCTTGGATTCTTTAAAATTAAATAAAAGAGCATACGATGAAAGATCAAAAGAAATTTCTGTACAATTGAGTTACGTCTTGGCAGTAAAGTTTTCCACCAAACCAAATCCCTACAAAGCAATATTAGTTTCATGGTCACAGTTGCTTTTGGACTTTCCTTGATACATTTGGCAGCTATCTTGAGAGCATCCAAAGAACCGCTGGCAACATCAATCACTCATTTCATAAGCAGGCGCTAAGAGGCGACGGGAGGGCGCTTGGCACAATACCATCTCTCCACCATGGAGCCCCTCCCAGGCAGGGAAAAAGAGAAACGGTGCAGCATAGAGACATTATGGAGCACTCGGCTTCGAATAAGGTTCTGCTAATGTGTAAATAACCTGCTTTCTCTAACCATGTCTTTAGTAGACTAAGTGGTTAATTGTTATTGATCAGCTCTGCCCACTGTTCCAATATCAGTCATTATTGAAAATAATCTCAGTATCCTTCATTAAGCATGCATCTGTTTCCATGGGAATGCATTTTAAACACAGAGAGCTACTTGAGTGTTATTGGTTTCACTGGTAGCGCCGGCACTGAGGGCTGTGGTTGCCCAATCTGTCATAGTTAATCAACTCTCATCTCTTAACACTGGCTGCAGTTATCAATGAGGTAAGGATTAATATTCTGGGCGAAGCAGATGATAAATCATTTGTATATAATTAGTGTACAGCAAGGTTACAGCTGACATGAATTTTTATCTTAATTATGAGAGAAATTTGTTCCATTAATTTAATTTAGTTTGCATGAGTGGCTAGACACCTAACAAAGTTAATCTTACACCTGTCATTACAACATTAAGTAGAAAGCCTCGTGTTGAGGCGCCAGTCTCACATCCTCCTGCGGATGAGGATAATGTTGTTCATCTTGATGTGAAAATAGATGATTGTAGACAGAAGATGTAAAGTCGACTCTTTTTAAAGTTGTCCCAGGGAATTTATGGGTGAATATTGAAGCGACTCAAGTTGCTGTGCTTTGAATGCCACAGTCCCCTTGCGAAATTACCTCTCTCCTGCCTTGCAAATCAGGTAGAAGACACTACATACAAGAAGAGATTGGTTGTTTTTTAAATGTATATATGCTAACTTCAGAGCTTTTGGCCAAATAAAGCTTTGCCTCATAACAAGCTATTGCATTTGTATCAAATGCAATGCATTAAGAAATAAATGTGTGCTAGTTCGAGTTGCCTATTCTAAGTGCTTCATGTTTATAATTGACTAGCAGAATTCATATAACTCGATTTACTGTACAAATGGTAATTATGCAGACATCCCAAAGGCTTCAGAGTACTGCATAAACCTAAACCCTGTACTAATTATCCAAGTAATCACCGTGTCTGATCAATCATATTTGATTGATAGATTAGGTGGGGCTATTTATGCAGTAGAATGTGATGTTCTTTATTTTCCTAAAGATTAGCTACAGATTTGAGATTTTAAAAAGGAAGAAAGGACTTGCTGACTTGGCTTATTTAAAATGGTTTTCGTATAGACTTATCTTTGTGATAATTATTTTGCCTTGATGTCTGACCTGGTGTAGGCAGAAATCTTTAAATTAAAAAAGGCAGGAAGTCACAAAGTTACAATACAAAATCCCTGAAAACAGGATGACCAAGGAACAACTCCAGAATGTGGAAACAGAACTAGAAATGGCATCATGGAAGAGCCCATTTCTGAAATCGTGCATTTGAAATATAAGCTCTGGCTTCCAAAGGACTGGGCTTGCATTTAGGAGACCCCAAATAAGCCTGCAGCTGAAATGCTAATTGCACGGTAACTCAGATTAATGTATTGTAATATTAGTCCACAATTATCACTTGGAGATAGGGTCAAGAAGTGTATAGTTGGTTATTCACAAGAAATGACTGATTTAAAAACAAAGAGCTCTAATGGAATTCAATAGTGCTTTTCAGTCATTCTGCTTGGCATCTCTATTACCTGAGATGATTCACAGTCCATTATGGGAGCTTCCATGCTAATAGAATGTCTATCTTCTGTAATACAGACACATCAGAGCACTAACTGGGAATCTGTCACAATGAATTTCATCTAGATTTCACTTCATCTCTTCATGGACTGTAAAATTTGCTCTTGTACAATGCCTAAATTTACTGTGGGTAATTGAGAGAGATCTATAGATGCAGCAGCACTCTGTTAAAAGCAGTTTTCCAAAGATCTATTGTAAATTGTGCAGCTTTGCCTCAGCTGGGGAAAGATTATGGCGAGCTGAATCTTGCCTTTACTAATGAGATGTTGTGGTGAGTTCAAAAGAAAGAGGGGGGAGATGCCTTAGTGAATTCCACCACGTGGAAAAAGGAAAACAAGGAAGGGACCTATCTTTCATTCAGAGAAAGCTTTGCAAAAGGGACAAGGATACGTTTGGACCCAGGCTTCATTACCTTCCATGGGAAGTGTAA